GGCGGTAAACCTGCACTGGTTGGTCTTAATCGGTTTCGGGTCAGAGTCAAATTGGGGAGAGCACACAATGATTAAGACATTAATATATAGGGACGCTATAGGGTTATTTACTAAAACACCTCTATACTTTTATGAATTTATTAAAATCTACCATATAATTTGTGTTTTACTAAAAGATCTCCTTTACTTTGCAAACTATGATCGACCTTCCATTAGATGAAAGTGAAAAATAACAATTTGAACCCTAACAATCATTCAAATAAATTTAATCAAAATAAACTAAAAATAGAATATCATTTTTATCCCTAGTAAAGCACGGGCAACCACTCTATTTTCTCTATTTGGTCAATTTTGTAATCTATAGAAAAAGGTATTAGGGGTACCTTTGGAATAAACAGCCATGAATTTTTAGAATAAACAACCATGGGTCTATAACCTTAAACATTTTCCACTTAATTCAGGTGATCATGTTACTATTTTCTGTTATGGACAAACCGCCCGGCAGCGCACTGCGGCGCAGTCATAGGCAGCAGCACGCACAGCGGGCCGCCCGACAGTGCCGCGCAGCAGCCTAGCAGCGCGCCACATGCACCGCCAAGCAGCGCGCAGCACGCACCACCCGACAGCGCAGCACGCACCGCACGGCAGCAGCACTAGGTAGTAGCACGCACCACAAAGCAGCAGGACGCACCTCACGGCAGCAGCACTGCAAGCCGCGCGCACCGCCCGGCAGCAGCAGTAGGGCGGGGCCCACACGACAGCTCAGTAGGGTGGGTCCACACTTATCTTACCACATCAGCCCTGCTCACCAACTTGCCGCCAACTACACCATTCCTTATCCCTTATCCCTTATCCTTATCCTTATCTTATCTTATCTTAAGTAAGAGTTGTATTACCTTTAGGAGTAGGTAATTAGGAGTTTGAGTTTATGTTGGATTACCCTAGCCTAGCCGAATCCAACAAGGAACCCCCTTTTGTAATCTTCTATTTAAGGAGCTATGAGTTGAAATAAAGGCATTCAGTTTTCCAGTCAAGAGAAGAGTGAGGAGAGTTCGGGTGGTCTCTTGGACAAATCACCCATTCGGTTTTCCACAATAGGTTCGGCACGCAAGGGAAGGTGCAAGGGAAAGCAAGAGGTCTCCCCGTGGACCGACCTGTGACGAGATCCTACGCCCAGGACCATAACATTCTGGTTTCAGAGCCTACCGTCATGGGGGAACAGGAGCCGCTGTCTTCCAGGGTCCACGATCTGGAACATAGGCTAGTAGAAACCAGCATGGAGGTTCGTGAACTCAAGGAAGATGTCCGGGAGTTGCGACGCCTACTGGAAGCATTCCTCCCCAACAAAGAAAGGAGTTCTGAGGGAATCACCAACACAAACAATCGTCGTCCGGACTGGGCAGAGGCATCCAGCGAACAACAGATTGCTGCCCCAACAGCCGTAGTTATTCCAAAGTATAGCCGTTTGGAGTTTCCCTCATACAGCGGCAGCGGCGACCCACTAGGATGGCTGTACTGCTGTGAGCAATTCCTCCGCAATCAGCGCACGGATGAGAAGGAAAAGGTCAGCCTGGCCGCGTTCCACCTGACCGAAGAAGCGCAACTCTGGTTCTACCGAGTGGAGCAGGAGGAACCAGGTCTTAGTTGGGATCAGTTCAAGTCCTTCTGCCTCCTTCAGTTCGGACCCCCATTAACAAGCAACCCCTTGGGGGAACTCATTCGCCTCAAGCAGACCGGGACCGTAGTAGAGTATCAACGGCAGTTCCAGACCCTTCTCGCCAGAGCAGCCTCGGTACGCCCAGACCAGCAGGTGGATATGTTCACAACTGATCTAGCCGAAACCCTAAGAGTTGATGTAGAGATGCAGAGCCCGCCTAACCTGGTCATGGCAATGAATTTAGCCCGAGCCTTCAAGCGCAAACTGCAGATTAGCCGAGGGCCGTCCAGCGGGGGATGCCCAGCAGCGGCTTGGACAAACCCGAAGCCTATTGGAGGGGGGCCTTCGCTGGCAGCCAATAGGGAACCACTCGGAGTGGTTCCATATTCAGCAGCCAGCCCAGAACGGAAGTTAGAGACAAGCACCAATTCCAGATCAACATCCAGTGTGGGGAGCAACATCGGTACACCCCCTATTAAGCACTTGTCTAGGGCTGAGATGGCAGAACGCAGGGCGAGGGGGCATTGTTTTAATTGCGATGAACTCTACTCAGCAGGGCACAAGTGCAAGAGATTTTTCTGCCTCCTAGTGAAACAAGAGGAAGATGAGGATGAACCCCCTCCATGGGAACCCGATCCAGGAGGGCAAAGCCATTCCACCTATCCAGGATTCCTTTGACGGTGTTTTCGACACCCAATTCGAGCTTGAGGACACGCTCGTAGTCCAGGAGGGGTGTGATGTTATGGACACACCGCCCGACAGCTCACTACGGCGCAGTCATAGGCAACAGCACGCACAGCAGGCCGCACAGCAGCACGCGCCGCCAAGCAGTGCTGCGCAGCAGCCTGGCAGTGCGCTGGCAGCCAACAGGGAACCACTCGGAATGGCTCCATATCCAGCAGCCAGCCCAGAACGGAAGCCAGAGACGAGCACCAATTTCAGATCAGCATCCAATGTAGGGAGCAGCATCGGTACACCCCCTATTAAGCACTTGTCCAGGGCTGAGATGGCAGAACGCAGGGCGAGGGGGCAATGTTTTAATTGCGATGAACTCTACTCAGCAGGGCACGAGTGCAAGAGACTTTTCTGCCTCCTGGTGAAACAAGAGGAAGATGAGGATGAACCCCCTCCATGGGAACCCGATCCAGGAGGGCAAAGCCATTCCATCTATCCAGGATTCCTTTGGCGGTGTTTTCGACTCCCAATTCGAGCTTGAGGACAAGCTCATAGTCCAGGAGGGGTGTGATGTTATGGACACACTGCCCGACAGCACACTGCGACGCAGTCATAGGCAACAGCACGCACAGCGGGCCACACATCAGCACGCACTGCTAAGCAGCTGTGCGCAGCAACCCGGCAGCACGCCGCACGCACCGCCCGGCAGCGCGCAACATGCACCGCCCGGCAGCGCGCAGCACGCACTACCTGGCAGCGTGCAGCACGCACCGCACGGCAGCAGCAATGCGAGACATGCGCACCACCCGACAACAGCAGCAGGGCGGGGTCCACACGATAGCTCAGCAGGGTGGGTCCACACTTCTCTTACCACATCAGCCCTGCTCACCAACTTGCCGCCAGCTACACCATTCCTTATCCCTTATCCCTTATCCTTATCCTTATCTTATCTTATTTTAAGTAAGAGTTGTGTTACCTTTAGGAGTAGGTAATTAGTAGTTTGAGTTTAAGTTGGATTACCCTAGCCTAGTCAAATCCAACAAGGAACCCCCTTTTGTAATCTCCTATTTAAGGAGCTGTGAGTTGAAATAAAGGCATTCAGTTTTCCAATTAAGAGAAGAGTGATGAGAGTTCGGGTGGTCTCTTGGACAAATCACCCATTAGGAGAGTTCGGGTGGTCTCTTAGACAAATCACCCATTCGGTTTTCCACAATAGGTTCGGCACGCAAGAGAAGGCGCAAGGGAAAGCAAGAGGTTCTCCCCGTGGACCGACCCGTGACGAGATCCTACGCCCGGGCCCATAATATTTTCACATGGCAAAACAAAAGTTCTTAATGAAAGGCCAATTAAGGAAATATGTTGCAAATTATAAGGGGTGTTTTAGTAAAATGCAAACTATATGATAGGTTTAAGTAAGTCTGTGAAACTATTGGGGTGTTCTAGTAGATGACCCTAAGCTATATATGAGGCACACGGGTTAGGGGAGGTTCGGTAGCCCTCTTAGGGGTGCAAATGGATCGATTCGAGATCTGATCCTATTTGGTCGAGTTCGGATCAGAAATCGGATCACCCCTATCAAATCCGAGAAGATCCGATCCCATATATTATATATATATATATATAATGCATATATATGTGTTATTTATTTATTACAAAAAAACATGTATATATATGATGAAATAATTAAAAATACTTATATTTTTTATTTTTACTTTATTTAACTTAGTATATTTTATTTTTTTTCTTTTAATAATTTATTAATTTTTAAAGAAAACAAGTTGGATCGGATCAAATCCGAAGATCCTTACCAATAGAATTCAAATTCAAATCGAGTCTATCTTTGGATTAGATTGGATCCGACATGATCAATGTTGGATCGAATTTGAATATACAATCTGTTTGCATATTCGAATCCGATCCAATCCAATCCGTTTGCATCCATAGCCCCTCTTAGGGTTGTTCACAGGTCAGGTTGGGTTGGTTTACTAGTTTTTTTCAACCGACCCCGACTTGGTCGGGTTACCTAAAGATCTAGTCGGTTTTGGTTTAAATATATACATTTCCGAAATATATATTTCAGCTTTTATATATATATATATATTTCAGAAATGTACATATTATATATAATATTTCAGAATATATTTTTTGGAAATATATTTAAAACTGAAATATACATATTATATATTATATTTCAGTGAGAATATATTTATTGGAAATACATTTAAAATTGAAATATATATTTCAGGATACACATATTATATATAATATTTCAATGAGAATTTATTTATAGATAAATCAGTTCGGTTTCGATTGTCATGTATGAAAATCGAAACCGAACTGAATTATCGATTTACCCATCTTTCCAACCTGAATTATCAGTTTACCCATATTTCCAACCCGAATTATCAGTTTACCCATCTTCCCAACCCGAAACCGACCGGTGTGAAGAAAAACCGGTCAAATCAGGTTGGGTCAGGCCAGGTTGGTTGTTTTGAATTTATTTGTGAACAGCCCTAGCCTCTCTTCATTTAGTCGGATTAGGGTCGGATTTGGGTTTAGTCGAACCCGTACTGAACCCGACCTGTACATCCTGGCCAAAATTTATTGGCACCAGACGTGCACTCTAATCCGTTGTCCGGTTGAAGAAGGTAATGAATACGCTTCAATGACTCCAATTTTTATTTTTTATTTTTGTTTGAGTAATTAATTTCATTCATGCTTTCCCCTCCCAAAAGCGTCGAACTTTATGTCATTGCAGTCCTCTCCCTATCTTGGTGTCAAATTCAAGCAATCTTCCCAAATTTCTCATATATCCCTTCAAAGCTTTATCTTACATAGGAGATAGGACATAGGACAAGAAGCGACACCGGATTTTCATGGCTGGCACAGAATGTTTCATTCTTGGCCTGCTTCTGGTCACCCTTCTCGGCACCGACGCCATGCCGCCACCACCCCCGATTCAATGTAATTCAACTGGTTGCATCCTTCACAACTCCTACGGCGTGTGGGGTGACCGGCAGGACTGTTGGATTTCGGGTGTCAGCTACCCAACGACAGAGGAAGAGCTCCGTTTGGCCGTGGCACAGGCCAACCAGAGGAAGTTCAAGGTGAAAGCAGTGAGCGGCTTTTCACACACCATCCCAAAGCTGGCATGCCCAGGAACGCCTTCAGGAAATGCAGTTCTTATAAGCACAGCAAGGCTCGATTCCACCATCCAGGTGAGCAGTGCGGATCTGACCGTCACAGCAGACGCAGGAGTCTCACTTCGTCGCCTGATTGATAAGGTGGAAGAAGCGGGATTGAGCTTAGTGGCGTCTCCTTACTGGGAGGGCGTCAGTGTGGGAGGGCTCATAAGCACGGGGGCACATGGGAGCTCGTGGTGGGGAAAGGGAGGCGCTGTCCATGATCATGTCGTCGGACTCAGTCTCGTGGTTCCTGCCACAGAATCTGAGGGCTACGCCAAGATTATTAGACTCGATTCTCACGATCCACTTTTCAATGCAGCAAAACTCTCTTTAGGAGTGTTGGGTGTTATCTCAAAGGTGAGTGATGCCCGTCTTGTTCTCACCTGAATCAAAGTTGCTCGTCTGAAATGAACACATATACAGGTAAAACTCGCATTGGAGCCTGGATTCAAAAGAAGCATTACCAATAACTTCATAGACGATGCTGGGTTTGAGGATGAATTCATGGATCTTGCCAAGAAGCATGAATTCGCAGATATTACATGGTACCCATCAAGATATACAGCAGTTTACAGGTATGATGATCGAGTCCCCTTGAACAGCTTCGGAGATGGGGTTAACGACTTCATTGGCTTCCAGTCCAACTCTGTTCTGGTTTCCGCTGCAGTCAGAGCAATAGGTATTTCTTGTCCCTGAAATCCAGCTTCCTCCTTTGAATTCTTCTATAGACATTCTCGGGGACATACATTTAATTGTTAATCTTACACCTGAAAACACAGAGAAGGCTCTGGAGACCGCACAGAACGTCAATGGAAAGTGCAGGATGGCGGCTTCAGTTGTAGCATTTAAGAAATTAGTTGGCAATGGTTTGAAGAATAATCTGATCTTCACAGGCTACCCAGTTGTGGGCCATCAGGGTAAAATGCAGACCTCTGGTTCTTGTCTATACTCGTCTGAGAAGAGCACTCAAAGCACATGCGCTTGGGATCCAAGAATCAAAGGACTCTTCTTTTACGAGACAACAGCAATATTTCCCAGATCAAGATTTGCAGACTTCATTCGTGATGTAAAGAAATTAAGGGACCTGAAACCAGAAAACTTCTGCGGGCTAGACGTCTACAACGGATTCTTGATACGTTTCATCAGGGCTTCTGAGGCATATCTGGGACAGGCTGAGGATTCTGTTGTGGTTGATTTCAACTATTATCGAGCTGACGAGGCTTCAACACCGAGGCTGAACCAGGATGTTTGGGAGGAGGTGGAGCAGATGGCATTCTTCAAGTATGGGGCTAAACCTCACTGGGCCAAGAACAGGAACCTTGCATTCTTGGGCGTGCAACAGAAGTACCCCAACTTCAGTAGATTTCTAGCGGCGAAAAAGCAATTAGACCCTGAAAACATGTTCTCTAGTGATTGGTCAGACGAGATACTTTTTGGTAAAGCAGCAGCTAACGGTGATGGTTGCGCCCTGGAGGGGCAATGCATATGTTCAGAGGATAGTCACTGCAACCCAGGCAAGGGATATTTCTGTAAACCAGGCCTTGTGTATAAAGAAGCTCGAGTCTGCTGTTACTCGCCTCCTTCCAAGGACAAATAGATCCAGTGGGATTTGTTGTTGTTGCTCTGACGCATAAAAAGTTGTCAGTAAATTGTAGGAAATTGTTATTTATGCATATGAGAAACAATAAAACAACTAATTTGGTTCAAGCAATAAGATGGGGATCACTAATGCCTAGTATAGTTGTTTTTGAATTTGAACAGGTTAGGTTACTTCAATTGAGTTCTGACTCGGCTTATGATTGATTTTGGTAGTGAGGCTAAACGGGCTAAAATATACAACTGAGCTATATTCAAGTCCCATTGAGAGGCTAATCAAGCAGAAGACTTCATTTCAGTAGGCAATCAAAAGCTCTTTTGATGGTCAGTAACTAAAATGTTCATTTGCAACATTAAACCAGGAAATGATTGTGAAACCCTGAATCCATTGAAATAAAATATAAATTTGTATGTATACAACATTCTAACTTCACATGTGCGATGCAAGAAAAATGTGGAATATCAAGACCTAGGATTCCTTGCACCAGGTAGCTAGAAAAATTTTGTCATTTAATCCTGTAGATTCAAGACCCAGGCTGAGATATTTCAAGATACACCATCTGAGTGTACCCATTGAATACAGACGTCTCAAGCCTTGTTAAACCAAGCCTCTGGAAAAAACCAAATCTTCCATCTTCAACAAGAGGAGTCTGCACGCGGGCGGGATCATATCTTGTTTGATGAGTAAGGGAAGGACCTGCCACCGGAGGAAGTTCCCAGTAGACATCTAGCACTGATTCCACAAACCTGCTGTTCTGGAAATGTTCAGCATAAGAAATTGCCTTATTGCTATGGTTGAAATCATCCCGCATCTGCCCCCTTACACCCCACCATGCTTCCCCTGGTCCACATAGTTCCTCTATGTCTACAGCCTTCTCCCAGAACTTCTTTCTTTTCGTCCTAATCCTAGCTTCATCACTATCTGCAAAACAACTGTGGCCACCACCTGGAAGATGCAAAATGAAGTTATACAACCCAATATTCAAACTTTAAAATCATGTTTACAATGCCATGCTAATCTTTCAGTGTATACCTATTTGAAAAAAGGTTTCGAAACATAAAATATTTAAGTTGAACTAGAAGATACTAGGAGCTTGCACCACTGTTTTCCCCCTTAATGAAAGCCATCATCCAGATCCAATTATCCATGTTTGGGATTCTTTTTTTGGTAAACCCATGTTTGGGATGATTGATCTTCCATGTGTGTCTGTTTTGCTTTGTTGTTTATTTATTTCTTTATTTATTCATTTATTCTTATTAGAAAGGAAAATTTGTAGAAGCTTTGTTTATTTATTTTCCCCTTAATAGAAGGTCAAATAGATGGATAATTTCATTTATATGCAGAGATGGACCTTTTGCACTTAAAGAAGCATGATTTGTTTCCAATTTCCATGAAGCTTCTTAAACCGATAGGTCATAGAAACCTAAAACAAAGTTTAAGAAATATATAATTCTGATTTTTGACAATAAATTGCTTACGGAAATAGTCTTGTCAATTGTCTTCTTTCTACTTGTTCAGAAATATAGAAAATGGGAAAGTTCTGTTTCCCTACATTAAGGTCCTAAGTACCTAAGATTACAAGATATCTTAAAGACCAAGCATGTTGCATGCACAGGAGGCAAGGGTTCTCATTCTCGGGTATGTAGAAGGCCAGTACAAACAAAATAAGGGAACCAGGGCGTGTACACTTCATATATAGCCTAATTTAAGAGTAGATAATATGCACCTCTTATGTAGAATTGATCACAAATCTGCCTCAAGGAATAGTGGTCGCCAGTTCCAGTGTCATAGTTATCCTCAAAGACAAGGTGTCGAAAGCCCGCTTTCAGTGCCTGCTTAAGTCTATCCACTCAAGTGTAAAGAAAAAACATTCACCAATTAACAATTCCTGAAAGAGGCAAAGAATGAAAGATAAACATGTCCAACATACAGATTGTAACTTAAACATGAAGTTATATACAAGGTGGTGCATAAAGGCGAGAAAACTTCCCAAAATTCAGACACAGGTCAGCATATACCTTTTTAGTTCATTCTGATGGTCATCAAAAAAGACCAGAACGCGATTGAGATCAGTAATCCCATATTTCTTCATAACGCTCTCCCAATCGACACTTCCAAAATCTATGAAATCCTTTCCAGCAAAGTACGTGCAATTTGGGTCAACATAAGCGGGTCCTTTCTTCAGGTATTTCTCCGGGTGCCGGGGTGTAAGCGACAGTATCTGTGCGTCTGGCATTGCTTGTCGGAGAACCCAAGTGGAATGCCCCTTGAAAGCACCGCTCTCGATCATCAGATCTGGCTTCAGCCATCGAGCAATGAACCAAAGGCCAAAGCTGTGGTCGAATCCCATTCCATACATGTTGTTTTTGATTGGACGGGTCTCATAGATTGGAACGAACTCTTCCAAGCCCTGGAGCAAGTCTTTTGATGTCCATTCAACCGTTCGTCCATGTTTCGATCTGCCTTTTTCCAGTGATGCGAATTAAATGGACGTAAATTAAGAGTTCAATACTGGGAATTCAACCCATTAAGTTGAATAAATTTCAAAATTTTCCCACTAATATTCTACTTGAAATCACTGAGCTACACATGGCCCAGCCAAGAACCAACCAATCAAGTTAAAACATGAAAATCACAATGAATCTTCTCATTCCCACATCAAAATCCTACAAAAGAAGAGACTCAACCAGAGTATTCGAGTCTCGGGAATTAATGTCCAGACTCCAGATAAGAGACCTAAGCACTAAATAAGTAACAAGAATGCAGCAAAACGTCTTCTCAGATCTGACAAAATGCAATGGTAGAAATCAAATGTTGCTCGCAAGAAACATACAAGATCCTCAAGAGAGATAGGCAGGAAAATTTTTTTCTTATAATTAGGGAGGGAAATTAATAAAATCACATAGTATCAACTTTAATCTGACTAAGAACCCTAATGTGGGTATCGAAATTCAGAGATCAAAGCCAGAGATGCTTACACCAGGGCACACCGAGGGATCCGAAATCAGAATCAAGGCCGTCAATGCCGAAGAAGCTCATCCGAGAATAGGATTCGGTACCATACGAAGAGACACAGACAATGTTGCGAGAATGGGAAACGACAGAGATAACAAGAAGGAGAAGAAAGAGAAGGAGGAATGGCCATAGAAACCCAATCTTGCTCATCTGCTTCGTCGCTCTCATGGCAAAGGTAACGTTCTTTCTCGTCTTCGATTCGTCATCTTCATCTCCTTCTTCGCTAAATTGCGTTGGTCTGCGCGTCGAGAGCACTCTCTCAAGCATGTTTTTCAAGGAGCAAAGAGAGGAGCTGAGTATGAATAGTTCGATAAGAAAACGCAAGACACCGTCAAAATTCAGAAAGAGCCTTGGTTGTACTTGCAGTGGTGGGCTTTAAATTGGATCACGTGAGTGCTAGCGCAAGGAATCAGCTTTCAAGTTTCAACTCTAGAGACTGGATCTGCTCCTCACAATTGGCGCCTGATGGGCGCCTCACACGCACATCCTATCATTCATTGGAAATATCTCCCGTTCTTATTAGTTATTATTCACGGGAGATGTTCCCAATGCACGGTGGATGTACATGTGAGGCGCTCATGTGTGAAGAGCAGATCCCATCACTCAATATGCAATGCGAAGGGGGATATGCTCCTGACAAATGGGCGCCTCACATGCACATCCACCGTGCATTGAGAACATCTCCCGTGAATAATAACTAATAAATTGGGGAGATGTTCCCAGTGCATGATAGGATATGCGTGTGAGGCGCTAGATGTGAGGAGCAGATCCAGTCTCATGCAATGCACTCAAATGGACTCTTAAGTTAGCCACGTGGACACCCAAATGGAGCAATAAGCTAGCCACATGGCATTGGATTAGTAAGGGGGTGTTCACTGATGTGAATCGGTTTTCTTGTTGCTGATTTTCAAACACAAAAACATGACCAATTGATTTGAAAACAATTATGGGTCATTTACTAAAACAATAGTTTCATGCATGTATTTACTAAAACACCTCCTATGTTTTGCATTTTACTAAAGCACCTCTTATAGTTTGCATTTTACTAAAATACCTCCTATGGTTTTCAATCAATTTACTTAAAGGCAAATTTCTTAAACTACCCCTTTGGTTTTGATGAAGGACTTTTGGGCAGTACCCTGTTGCTCGGACTATTTCTAAGTGGCCAATGACTCAAATGCTGAAGTGGATGATTTTTTCTATATGAGGACTTGGATGTCGAGTTGACTAGACCGAGCTGGGGGTAGATTGGCTGTCGAGTTGGGTTGATTGCTGAGCTAGGTAGCTCTTCAAAGAAACCTGCAAGGAATCAATGTTAGAGGACCCGGGGTGGCTAACTCGGCGAGGTCGCTCCGATGATTAAGTTAGTACTCTTGTAGTAGATCGCGAGCTAAAAAATCATAAAGTATGTGCTTACTCGCCTCTCTCTTGTGCCATTGGGGTTGGTGCCTTTATATAGGCATTGTTTGGTTTGGGCCTCATGCACTACATCCGAGATTTCTGAGAGGTCGTGCCTAACTGGTCCGACATCCTCGAAGGTAACCACCATGCACATTGACCATCCTCCAGAACATTCAGTACGTGGGCCAACTTCCGAGAAACCTGGGAGCGTCGGGATATGCATGCCAAATTTGTCGGCGAGCACATATCGCAGGTCACCGCCTAGTCCCCAGTCAGGTCGGCAAGCCCTCGAGGGAGGTTGCTCCTCGCGTTGAGGTCACTTCGGCCAGTGACGAGGTGCTACAAGCCAACCTAAGTTGTGGTCGAGGTCGCTAGGTCGGCGTGAAGGTAGGTTGTCAGATCGGCAATAAAGGCTGTTCGCGAGGTCGAGGTAAAGACGAGCCACGATCTAGGACTCCAAATCATCACTTGGGTGGTGTCTAGGTGTCATCTAACTATTCTGAGATGTCATGTGTCACAATGTCATTGGAGGGCCAAATCTGCCCTCATTAGGTTTAACTAATTGACTAAGTATATCCCTACTATTTGACTATTGTCTAACGTTATCCCTATTATTTCCAAAAATTACCATTGTTGTAAATATTGATAAGAGGAATGAAATGTCTATTTTGCCCTTAAGTCAAATTTATATGCGAAAGTTATAATTACTTTTTTACCTTCATTTTAAGGCATAACGGAGACGATTATCATTGCAATGGTTGGAGATCAACAGAGCATCCGAGAACAAAGACAGTGCACCATCACCTTCGCATGCGATGGTTGTCGTTGCAATTTTTGAACAACAATGTGACAGTGAAAATTTTCAAACATTTCAATGGCACCATTGCACCAAGGTAGAAAAAAAGCTAGCAAAGGAGAAGAAGGGCGAGAAGGCCCCTGTTGTAAAGAAGAAGCTTCCCAAGATCGGCAGAGAGAGGTTGGAGATCTCAGAACTTTCGAACAGGTGCCCAAATCTACTAAGTATCTCTCAGATCTACAATGAACCTAGATCTGAGATCTGAGAGATACTCACCTGTAGGGTTCACAAATAAATCCAAATCGACCAACCTGACTCGACCCAACCCGAGTTGGCCGATTTTTCTTCATTACTGGTCAGTTTCGGGTTGCAAAGATGAATAAACCAAACCGAACCAAACCGAGTTATGTGAAAAAATATATATTCTTAAAAATATCTATTAAATATAGATATTTTAGTTTTAAATAATAAATATATATTCTGAAATATATCAGATATATATTTCCGAAATATATATTTCCAAAAATTAGAAAATGTATATTTCGATATATTTGTATATATGTTTTGGTTTTAAATATATATTTTGAAATATTATATTTAATATTAACACTTTGACTTCATGTGCATTGTGCAAGCTTGGAGTTGGTTGAAACCCAAACCAACTCAAACTGATTAGGTCGGTTTTACTTAATAGAGGGTCGGTTTTGGTTTGATCTATAGGTAACCCGACCAGGTCGGGTCGGTTGAAAAAAGACTAGAAAACCGGTCCAACCCGACCCGTGAATAACTCTACTCACCTGGGCTATACAGGCGCTACTGCTAGAACTCTTTCATAGGTGATGAGGAGAGTTCATGGGAATATTGTTGTTGCTAGAAGTTGTAGCGACAGTGGTGATTGATCTTAAACAAACAAAAGCAAAAAAAAAAAAAAGAATGAAAGGGGTGTTCAGTGTTGCTGGTAGAGAGAGAGGGGAACGATGCATTTGAGGGATTCTGGCCTACTAGAGCGATGGTTTTGAGGGGAGGTTTCTAGTAAGGTTCAACTCACCCAAACATATCTTGCACTCAATAGGTTAGGTTTCCTGTTCATTGATTTCATTGTGGGGATATCGACAGACAGATCGAGCTCTCAAATGAGAGAGAGAGAGAGAGGGCTTGAGAAGAAGAAGAAGAAGAAGAAGGGAGAAGGAGAGGGGGAGGGGAGAAGGGTAAAATTGGGTTTTAAAAAAATATACATCACGTAGTGTCATGTGTATACAGGATTTGATGAAATATTAATGGATGCTAACGGTAAGGGTAGAGCTAGTCAATTGTCAGAAACAATAGGGGTTATACTTAGTCAATTAGCTAGACCATAAGGGTAGTTTAAGAAATTTGCCCTTTATTAATTGGCCTTTCATTAGATAATAGTGGAAAATGACAGTTTTGACCTTAATTTCCATTTGAATAAATTTAATCAAAATAAATTTAAAATAAGAATACCGTTTCTAACCCTAATAAACATGAGCAACCACTCTACTTGGTTCTATTTGGTCAATTTTGTCTTTATATATGAAATGTTAGGGGTACTTTTGGAATAAACAATCATGGCCTTTGCTTTGAACATTTTTTACACATTTTAGGCGATCATGTTACTATGTTTAGATGGCAAAACAAACATTTCTCACTGAAATGTTGATTAAGTAAATATGTTGCAAACTATAGAGGTGTTTTAGAAAAATGAAAACTACAAGGTAGGTTTAAGTAAAGCTGTGAAACTATAGGGGTGTTCTAGTAATGACCCAATAATTAAAAGAAGGGAAAATTCCTGATAAGTAACTTGTACTTTGGGCCTAGTGCCACTTTGGTCCCTGAACTTTAAAACGCAACAATTCAGTACCCGAACTTTCAAAATGTGTCAATTTAGTACCTAGCATTAACTAGTCCATTAACCAGCCATTAAGTGACATTTGAAAAGACACAAAAGCCCTTCAAGTGTCATCTAATTCTCTTTATCAACTATCCAAACGTTGACAAAAAATGAACACTCTCGAATCCTTGTCTCTTCTATTTAAGAAAGTTGGGGTCACGTGGGCATTCTGGTGACCCCAACTTTCTTGAATAGAAGATGCAAGGGTTTGGGACTGTTCATTTTTTTTTATCAATATTTGGATGGTTGATAAAGAGAATTAGATAACACTCGAAGTGCACTTGTGTCTTTTCAAATGGCACTTAACAATTGGTTAACAGGCTAGTTAACGACAAATATTGAATTGATACGTTTTGAATGTTTGAATACTAAAAATTATTGCATTTTAAATTAGAAAATTTTCCTTAACACAAAAACATAGAAAACATATTCTTGTTGAATTTACCTTGGTTTCCTTTCCTTTTTTCTACCTCTCCTTATATAAGTAGTCCCTAGAAATGGAGTCTGTACATAGAGTCTTTGTTTAGACACATATAGAGTATATGTATAAACTAATTATGAGGATGCTTGGCACTCCCTCCGAAATGGGAGGTGATGAAGGGTGATTTGGCACGACCTAGTAAGAAGGGGACACGTAGGCGCGACCTGCTCAAGGGGTGACAACTCAGCCAAACGAACCCAGCTCACAATATTCGAAGCTCGGGTATTCAGCCACCTCAGCCCAAAAACCACCTCAGCGTAGAGACACCTCGACATCCAATCCAGTTTGGGACTAAAGAACCAAAGTACCAGTTCGGAGCTAAAGAGTTGAAACGCCACGTAATCGACTCCAAAGGCCACCCTGACGGACTCTGAATTTCTTGGGATCACGACGAGACTCATCCTAACTCCGCTTGAATCGGAGGTAAATGATAAACCTTATCGCCACATTGCTCTCCTTAAAAAATGGAACAGATCTTATCCGCATGGCCCGGAGATCTCAGAGCTCTTTCGTAAGGCCCACGACTACTCCATTATATAAGGACATGAAACCCCAAGGCAAAGGTACGTGTGATTATTTACTCACTAGCATTCAAGCACTCAAGTATTCAGTTCGCATCTATAGTATAGTACTGACTTAAACATCGGAGTGACCTCGCCGGGTTAGCCACCCCGGGTTCTCTGATCTACTATTTTGCAGCTTGGTCCAGCACGCCGCGCAACTGGAGTTCAGATCATTTTCCAGCTA